TGGAGGGATGGAGAGATGGAGGGATGGAGAGATGGAGAGATGGAGGGATGGGTGATTGAGGGATGGAGAGATGGAGGGATGGAAGGATGGAGAGATGGAGGGATGGAGGAATGGAAGGATGGAGAGATGGAGGGATGGAGAGATGGAGGGATGGAGGGATGGGTGATTGAGGGATGGAAGGATGGAGGAATGGAAGGATGGAGAGATGGAGGGATGAAGGGATAGAGAGATGGGGGATGGAGGAATGGAGAGATGGAGGGATGGAGGGATGGAGGGATGGAGGGATGGAGGGATGGAGGGATGGAGGGATAGAGGGATGGAGGGATGGAGGGATGGAGGGATGGAAGGATGGAGGGATGGAGGGATGGAGGGATAGAGGGATGGAGGGATGGAGAGATGGAGGGATGGGTGATTGAGGGATGGAGGGATGGAGGGATGGAGGGATAGAGGGATGGAGGGATGGAGAGATGGAGGGATGGAGGGGTGGAGCGATGGAGGGATGGAGGGATGGAGGGATGGAGGGATGGAGGGATGGAGGGATAGAGGGATGGAGGGATGGAGGGATGGAGGGATGGAAGGATGGAGGGATGGAGGGATGGAGGGATGGAGGGATGGAGGGATAGAGGGATGGAGGGATGGAGAGATGGAGGGATGGGTGATTGAGGGATGGAGGGATGGAGGGATGGAGGGATAGAGGGATGGAGGGATGGAGAGATGGAGGGATGGAGGGGTGGAGCGATGGAGGGATGGAGGGATGGAGGGATGGAGGGATAGAGGGATGGAGGGATGGAGAGATGGAGGGATGGAGGGGTGGAGCGATGGAGGGATGGAGGGATGGAGAGATGGGGGTTGAGGGATGGAGGAAGAGCAAGCAGAGGACATCCCAGTGGGAGACTCAAGAGGAAAAGAGAGAACCCGCTAGGAAGGTCTAGCAGTCTGGGAGTCCTTACATCAATCACGCTCCTGCCCTACAGTGGAATCTATGTAGCGATTAAGAAACATGTTGTCGATCTATATTTATTGGCATGGAGAGATGTCAGCTGTATAACGCTAAGCAAAGGAGGCTGCTTACAAAACAGTACATATAATGACATCCCAAATTTTAGAAATATTTTTGGCACAAAAGCAAGTCCAGAAGCATGGTCCCTTGTGATTGGCAGGGATGACGCAAGGCTTACAGGTGGTCTCATTCTCCCACCCGTTTATTGCTGGGAGGGAGGGGGGATGGTGTACAAGTATAATTAGCCAAAATAATAACACGCGTTCCAAAGAGAATAGGGGTGAGGCGGAAGAGCTGAAGAGGAGAGAGGTGGGTAAAGAGAAGGCTGCAGGCAGGAGGAAGGGGGCAGGGGCCAGGCAGCCGCTGCAGAGTTGGGGGGAGGAGACTGCAGGCCAGTCGCGGGCGGCAAGGCCCAGCAGGGCGTGCCAGTGGGCAGAGAGAAAGACAGAGCCCCAGAGACAGGGAGGGGCAGAGGAACATGGTCTTCCTCCAGTCCTCACTCAGAGAGCAAAAGCTGCTCCTGTCCTCGCTGGCCCCTCTGGAAGTGCCACTCATCCCAGGAGGGCCCCCTCCACTTGAGCACCCCCACCCCCAGATTCACAGAGTGATTACATGGGATCCTCTCTCCTCCTCTCCCCCCACCCACCTGACTCTGTCTCTGTCTCTTTGTACAAATGAAAACTGCACACACGCCCCCAACCCCTTCAGGTAGGTTTGTAATTTTCTATACCAGAATTACTCTAGGGAACAGAGATCCTTGGCAGCAGAATCTTTAATAATTGCTGCTACTCAAGGAATGGACTGCAGAGCTTACAGGCCTGGGGAAGGCAGCACTTGTGCCCACAGCTGGGCCAGGGGCTTCGGGCAGTGGTCACAGTGTGAGGGCCATGCCTGCATCCATCTTGGCCCATCCCAAGGCAAATTCCTCAGCCCCAAGCTCTGATGCCTTGGGGAGCCCTGGTCACACTGCAGAAGGTACAGCCTAAGCTCCCCAAGGACTCTCTCTATCCCACCCTAATGGGTCCCCCAAAAAGGAGACCAGCCTGCTTAGGACATTCTGTGTAATCTGATGCAGATCTTCCCAGGGCCTCAGTTTCTCCATGCATTAAATCAAAGAATCAGACACAATGAAATTCCCAGTGTTTTAATCCCAACCTTCTGCAACATGCTTTCTTGGGCACTGAGTTTTTTAAATTGTGGAACTGGTTGCATTTAAGTATTTGGAGCTTTGCCATAAAAATCCGGGTCCCCAGCCACATATAGACCTCATTCCTTCCAGGGAGCCACCGGAAGGAGCCAGTAGACACCGACCCTCCTCTCCAGCCACAGAGTCAGTGCAAGTCTTGGCGCCCGCCTACTGTAGAGGTCAGCTACCCTGCTCTGGGGCCCTCTCCCCTGCAAGCTCATGCTGTCTTGATGATCTGTTAACATGTGGTTGTGTCCCTACTCATGGATCAGGCAAAAGCTTCAGGCCTCTAGGGGAAGCTAGTTAGACCCAAATCTCAGCTCTGACTCTTGAAACTTTAGCCAGTCATTTGACCTCTGAACCCCACCTGTAAAATGGGTATTCCAAGAGACCACCATCTGCGGGGTTGTCATATGGATCAGGGGGATGCATGCAGAGTTCTTAGCATCGTGCCTAACACGGAATGAGCACCCTATTTGGGTGCACTAGTGCTGGGACTGAGGCACACAATAGGGGCACAGTCCATGTTTTTTAAAAGAGCAGTTCGCAGGGAGGCTAACAAATGGGAATGGGTAGGGTCACAGAAGAGAGGCCACAGGAAGCTGGCGCAAAGGGAAAAAGGCCTCTGCTCTGCAGTATGGGTCGGTGCAGCCAGCATCAGCAAAGCCGACCTCGCAGTGCTCCAGTCTCCATCTGGGTCTTTGGACGTTACATTAGCGCCCCCTCCTGGTTGATACATGCCTCACAGCCACCCCCTCCATGGTCCCAGGTGGACACTACACCTCGAAGAGGCTGGTCCTCCGCACTATTTTCAGAACGGACAGGACGCTTAGAACTTGCCCTTCATCACACATCTGGAGACAAAAACTCAAACCAGAGAATAAGTTTCCCCAGGCTACAGAAAAGGTTCTTGAGAAAACCACATTAGAACGAGACCTTGCTAGAGTACCGTGTGGTTCTGATACTCACCCCACTCTGTCCGCTATCACAGACACTAAGATATTCACTGAGTCTCAGAGGAAACATTTTCCAGGACCAGGAATGAAAACAGGCTGGCGGGCTGAGCCCAGGAGTCAGTGGAAAAGTGACATTCGACAGGGTCAGAAACCAGTGCAGAATTCCACAGTGCACATGTGGGGTCAGTCCCTATGGGAGCCCAGGAGAATTGTAGAACATACCCCACATGTGTCCCTCCCAAAGGGAAGGATGCTTGGGACCTGGTTGGCTGGACAGATGTTTTCCAGGACAGTAACTGTCCCAGTGACAGCTTTGCCCAGCCTACATCTGCACCACACATGACTTCAAGACCAGGGAAGCCTGAGCAAGCAATCCCAGGGTCCAGGAGAGAAGCCAGCAGCTTACACAGCAAAGTGAATATCAAGGGCAAAGGTTCTCAAAGTGACTCCTGGACTAGAGGCATCAGTACCACCTAAGGAGTTGTTAGAAATGCACATTTCTGACCTCCATCGCAGACCTATTGAGTCAGAAAGATGTGCAGCAAGGAATCCCTCCCATAATGAGCCTCACAGGTGGTTCTGGTGCTGGTTGTGTGCTAAGATCTCTGACCTAGGACAGAACACAAGAGGCAGCAATAGCATCGGCTACATGCACTGCCAGCATTCACCATGAACTAGGGGAAAGAGGTGGCAGTGACTCACCCAAGAGCACACGGGTAGTAGACGGCAGACATGGGCTTTGTGTCTTCCCGTCACACCACCACGCAGAATGAGCAGCACGGGCGCCACGCAGGGGTTGAGGATTAGGGCCCAGTGCCCCCTTCCGGCCTCCGCCACTTTGCTCTGCTTTCTAAACCAAGGACCTCCACCTGGTGCCACCAAATGGCTCCAGGAAGTCTGCCAAGCCAGGTGCCTCTCTCTTGGCTCCCAGCTGCCCTCAGCGCCTCGGTCAGGACGAGCACTCTTCACCCCCACCCTCCAGCCAGCAGGACACACGGGGTGACCCAGAGCGGTTTCTTGCTGAGGAAGGAGGCAGTCCCTGGATTAAAACTGCACAGTCTCTGTGCCAGAGCTCTGCACTGCTCTTCCTTCTCCTTGTCCTCCAGTCTTCCTCCCGCCCCTCTGCTCCTATTCCATCTGCTGCTCCTCTTGGCTAGGCTCCCCCTCAGTTGGCACAGCAGGAAAAAAGAACCGGACGGTTTATTTTTATCCTGAGATACTGGGGGGGGGGGGGGCAGAGGCACCATCTGACCAAGAAGCAGCAGCTCCCAGAGCACTGAGGTCAGAAGGCAGTGAGAGACCCAGGACCTCCCTGGAAGGAGTGACAGACGTAGGCTCCAGAAAACAGACCTCGGAGAAGCCAGGATCAAGACGGGGAAGCTCCGAGCGTGACACCTTTGCACACTGCTGTGTGCCGACAGGCAAGCCACTTCAGCAATCTGGGCCTCCGTTTCCACCTGTGACCGAGGGAGGGATGCAGACCCTGCCTGCTCTAGAAGGCTGTTTTGTGAACGCGAATCAAACGGGAGATGCCTTGCACACTTGCTGTGAGCACACCGTGGAAACTAGCCGGAGGGGCAGCAGCCTGGGGACATGCTTATCATCCTCAGAAACTGCCCTAATTCCGGGAGCCTGACAGCAAATTAAACAGCCTGTGACATCCAGCATGTCCACCCCCGTTTTTCTTTTTGCATGTTTGATGATTTTAAAAAATTACATAAGTATTCATTTTGCTTTGGGAAAAAAACGAAGCACTGTGGAAAAGCTAAATGTCCCCCATCCAGACATTCCCACCCTTCGAGTTGGGGTTTTCTGTTTATCCTTCTAGAATCCTTGTTTTACCTACAAACACAACATGTTATTTTTATACATATACTCACAATTCCTCTATTTTTATATATCAATATGTACACAATATCGTATACACTATTGTTTTTATATATAGTGTATGCGGCATATTGCTTCGGAGTTTCCATATCTGTCACCCAGTCTTTTTTCTCCTGTGGCAGTGTTTCTGAGATCCTGTTGTATAAATGTATTACAATACTATCCAGCAAGTCCCCTGCAAATGGACTGCCAGGTGGTCACCAGTTTTTCACAATGACAAACAACACTGCAGTGGGCATCGGCGTCTGTGACTGGGCTGATGGAAATCACACGGTCCAGGCCCAGTCACCAAACTGCTCAGTCGGGTTGGCAGGGTGGGTGGGCGTTCCTGTATTTCCCCAACGCCAGAGTTCTTCCTCCATCTTTAAAAGCAAGCAGGGAAGTTGGCTGGGCTCCGGAACTGGCACGTGAGGTTCTCGGAGCTGAACTGTGTCCCGCGTCTCATGCTGAGCCTAGGGCTGCCCTCAGACTCCAGTGGTGCGGGCAGAGGGCCTGTGCCTGGTCAGAGCGAGCCTCTCCTCTTCACGCTCCCACCACCGCAGAAGCTCCAGGCTCTGCAGCCTGGTACTCTGTGCCCAGGCTGCCATGTCCTCGGTAGGCACCGTCTCACAGTCTCTCTTGCACTGAGATGCGACTCTCCTTGCCATCCTCCTGGGTAACTGGCTGGCATCCGTGCAAAGTCTCCTGCACTGGAGCAGCAGTGTTGTGGCCAAGAAAATCGTCCCCGTCGGGCCATTCCACAGGCAATTGCCTCTCAGGCTTATAACTGACGGCCTGGGAAGCCAAGGTATGAACTTACCCCAGGAACAGGGGCAGCTGAGCCCAGGAGAGGCCAGTCCCTGGGAAGCAGGGCTCCTTCCAAGCCCCTTCACCCCTGCCAGTGAGCCAGTGCGGATTCCTTGGGTGCGGCCTGCCCCCTGCTGGCCACACTGAGGGTGACAAGAATCCACTGGCTTCCAGAGTGACAGCCAGTGGATCCAAGACACTGTCTCTTTGACCCCCACCCACTGGACCCTTCCAAGGCCCAAAGGAGTGGATCCCCTCAAGTTGAATACTAGGGAAGGAGTAAATAACCACCATGATTTGCCAATCATGCCGGGGCTGCCCTGGGAGAAGTGAGCTCAAGGCTGAGGCGTAGGGTGGGCGGAGGTGAGAGGAGCCTGTGTTGCTGCCAGTCTGTCCTGACTGCAGACAGACTGAATCAGCTTTCCTGCCCCACAGACAACAATGAGTCAATCTTTCCAGCTTTCCAGAACTGTCCCAGTCCCAGGGGTGACCTACCTTAACCTCCGGCTTCCTGAACACCTTTCCTAAAGGAAGGAAGTTGCAGAGGCCAGATCAGGACCAGAAATGTTCTCCTGTACTTTTTCCTCCCTCCCCCCTTCCCGCCACCCTTTCCCCCTCTTTCCCTTTTTCTCTCCCCACCTGGGAACCCAGTGAAGTACACAGAAGACATCAAGAAGATGAAAATTAGGATCCCGATAATGATGGGGATCACCAGAAGGACTCGACTCCGATTCTGGAAACCTGGAGAAATTGAGACTTTAGCACGCACCTGCCCCATACAGTTCCTCCCACCTCCCAGCCCATGCCCAAAGCTGCTGCCCTTGAAAATCCTCCAGTCCCTGAGCTTGTCTACATCAGAGGTTTCAAATGAGTGGTTCTTAGGAAAATCTATCTGACAGACGTCCCTAGTGTGACCAGCACATTGTTTTTAATGCTTTGAGATATCTGCCAACATTTTAAAATTGGGAGGCTCCATATTTAAAATCTGAGCATTCAGTCTCACAAACTGGGAGGGTCAGGCCCTTGGGGGCAGGATCAGCTAGAACTGGACAGGGGTGGCTGGCTGGCCTGCCTGCTTCTCTAACATTCCTAATTGGCCAGATACTGAGGTCCAGTTACATTTGTCCGCACAGTGGCTTTTGCTACAGAAGAGTCATAAAGGAAAGTTCTCCTGTGCCCAAGTTTCTCTTCTAAGTGAGCAAATAAAAGAAAGATCAAGGGGCAGGTGGTCTCTAGCATGAGGTAAGGGATACAAACATATTGGACAAAATTGAAGAGGACACCAAAAAAAAAAAATCACAATCAAGCACTTCTTTAATGGCACATTTTGAAAATCAGCCAGCAGACACCAAGGAGTAAATGCTGGCCTAATGCCAGCCACCTATTCTTAAAATAAAGTTTTATTGGAACCAGGGCCAAAATTACAGTAGAGTGAGGCAGGGTCGTGCAAATACAAGGTTAGAACCTGTCTGGATTTAAAATTTTGCTATTCTATTCATCATGAGGTGTTTTTTGTTTCAAACTTTGATTTTTAAATATTGCATCAAAATGTTGTCCATCCTGATTACTGCATCTTAGGTCACCCTCTTAAATACTGGCCCAAGTGCCTCCCTTATCTCTTTCTAATCCAGCCCTGCCAAGAGGAAAGTCAGTTTTGAGAAAAAGCCAGGAGAACGTACTTTTCTTACCTCTGACCCTTTTTACTCATTAGTATGACCCACCTGGTCCCTGTAGCTGTCTGAGTTTATGGCCTGTGCTGTCGGCCAACCTCCTCATTCTAGCTGCTAAACCGAGGCCAACAGGGGACAGTGTTACAGCACACCAGTACTGAAATGTGCAGAGGCAGAACAGCTTTTATGGCCTGCCTCGGACGCCCCAGAAGCCATGTCTGGTGTCTACACTATCTTACTAGGGAAGTTGCTATTGTCGTTCCATTTTACAGATAAAGAAACTGATGCTCAGAAAGGGGAAGTAACTTGTCTAAGCTCCCAAGGTAAGTGGTAAAGCTGGATGCCGGGCTGCCTCCTCTCACTTCACCTCCCTCCCTCTCCCCTAACTCGGTGTCCCCTCTGTGCCTCAGTCTCTCCTTCTAGTTCCACTTTCCTAGACTGCTACCAGGGCTCGTGCTTCCACACTCACCACAGACAGCATCAGTTCTGTTAGTTCCTGCCCGTAGCTCCACCAGGTATTCGTTCTCACAGCTACGCACAGACACATGTGCACACACACACACAAAGACAGAAATAACGTTAGGTCTTCCCAACCATAAGGTTCCCAGCCCCAGGGGAGGCAGCCCACGCTCAGCAAGTCCGGGGTCACTGAGCCTGCGTTACGAGCAGCAGTCTATGCTGGCTTTTCTAGGGATGGCACCAACTCTGCTCTAATGGAACTCAAGTGCAGAGAAAACACGGCAGCATCTCTTGAAAGACTAATAAAGACAGGAGTTGATGATGAGGGCCAAGCTTTGTGACACACGCCAAAGTGAAACAAGCTGGATCATTGAACAGAACTGTTTGCAGTATCATTGTTGGAATGTCCACTCTATAAGCTTTAATTTTGTGACTTGAACAATTATTTCTAAGATGGCAATATGTAATCCATTAACTAGTGATTAAAAAAAAAAGAAAAGAAACAAGCAATGTCCAGAGTCAGACTGCACCATGGCTGGAATGCAGACCTGAGGGGTTCAGTTTAAGGCAGGGCTCCTCAGCACCGGTGACCTCTTGGCTGGATAATTTTGTGTTGTGGGCAGGGGGTGGGGAGTTTTCCTGAGCCTAGTGAGACGTTTAACAGCATCCCTGGCCTGTCCCCTTTAGGTGGCAGGAGCACCTCCCTCCCAAGTGGCGACCTGGAAGGGGTCCAGTCACGGCCAGTGTCCCACAGGGAGCAAAACTGCCCCCTGTTGAAAAGCTCTGATCGAAGGGTCATCAGTAAAGACTTCCCTGTGGAAGGAAGATATGAGAAAACCCTGAAGGGTACAAAACAGAGCAGCAGTGCATTCCAGTTACACGAACAGTGTGGTGGGAGGGAAATCAGCTGGCAAGCAGGACGATGTTAGGGGAATGTGGACAGCCAGATCGCCAGTAACCAGACATGAAGCTTTCAAGCAGATGCAGCTGGTGAGTCTCATCAGCATCCAATCAGATGACCTAACTAGGGGGAGGGTCAGCTGGCCAGTGAGTTCCAGAAGAGGGCAGCCAGGAGGCACGGAGGAGACTCTGCAGGAGACAAGGGACACTTGGTCCCAGGTGGCCTCCAGAAGAGCAGATACGAGTGAACAGAGAAGGACATTACAAAGGAAAACCCATCAAAAGTGGGAGAAAGGGAAAAGCCTCAGGAAAAGTACATAGTGTAGCCTTACATGAGAAAAACATCCAGGAGTTTACAAACACTGTTAAATGTCTTTTTCTCAAGCCTCACGAGAGGACAGCATCCTCATTTTCCAGATAAGGTCACCACGGTTCAGAGGCGAAAGCCACACATCTGCTGAGCTGCAGGCTAACTGGAGGGCAGTGAGCTGCTCTGATTATAGCCGAGGAGCCTCTAACCGTTGCCAATATTTGCTAGCAAAGACTGGGCACCTACTCCACAGCAGACTCTGTTCTAGGCCCCAGGGACAGCAAGATGGAAAGAAAAAAGGCCACCTGGGAAAGGCAGACAATAAACAAAGCACATGTGATGTGCTCCTACTGGTGTGGAACAAAGGAGGGAGACCATGAACGTGCGTGCGGGTGTGTGTGCGTGCTCAGATCTGTTCCTGCAGAGACTCTGCAGGACACACAAAACAGGGGCATCCCAGGAGGAGAACTTGGAGGCTGAGCAGCATGAATGGGAGGGACCCTTTTGTATTTTCCATCTAGTATGCCCATTTTACCCATTTTTTAAAATTCAATATAAAAAGTTAATGGGGCATATACCTAAGGATTCTTCCAGGCAGAAGAGTTTGAGGTAACAAGGAACAGTGTGCTCAGGAGATCACAAACAGTATGTCAGCAGTACTCAAGAGAAGAGGTCAGGACATACAGTTAGAGGCACGCTGCTGCCCAAGGAGTCTGGGATCCCTCCCCCTCAGCTAACACAGAGCCATGAAGCACTTTAAACCAGAGCATCGCAGGCCAAAAGGAACTATGGAAAGCTCACTTTGGGAAGAGCGGGGAGGACCAGCTGAAGGGGAGACACGAGATGTGGGGTATAGCTACATCACAGTGATGAAACCAAACTAAGAGACGAGACGGACTCACAAAACTCTCAGGCCAGATGGCCAGGACATGGCAGCTCGTGAGTGAATGTCCAGGGTCGTGATGCAACTTTCACCCAAGGAAAAGGCAAGGGCCGGAGAAGGGGCCCAAGAGGGTGTGGCAGAGGAACAGAACGAGGGGCAGAAGGGGAGTCCCAATATGCCCAAGATGAAGAGTTTTGAGAAAATTAGGAGATCAACAGTACCCATCACACTAAGAGACAGCAGGCAAGTGCCCACTAGGTTGGCTGCAAGATCACGCAATAGACGTTTCACAGGTGCACGAGTGTGTGGCCCTGGGGGAGCAGGGACTGAAAGATGGGTGGCTGGAAAGATCGAGGCAGGGTTCATGCCACTCTAGGGGGTGAGCGTTTATACCTTGTCCAAGGGTGACACTTTTCAAAAGCAGATGACACATTGGAGAAGAAGCCATTCGGGCAAGGTTCACAGATGGTATCAGAAGTAGCCGTACCTGGGAGTGAGTAGGGAGGGCACAATGACCATCGGATGGACCCCTGGCCCAGCTCTCAAGGGAGTGGACAGACACTCCTGTCCTGGTAGAGGGCTGCTCCTGGAGGCTGAGGCCCCGTGAGGCTTCTCCCGTGGCCCTTCCAAGGCACACACCCACAGCAGGAGGAAGACTAGAAGGCGCCCCATTTCCTGCTCACTCTAGCACTCAAGCTGACTAGATCAGAGTCTCCACGCCCACCACCTCCAGGGCTGAACGCCCCCTACCCAGCCCCTCACCTGTGACAGGCAGCTCTTCTCTCCTGCCTGCCCAGCTGATTCCCACACATGCCACTTACCCAGCTGCTTGACCCCAAACCCAGGGCCGCAGGAGGTGTGCAGATCACAGTGCTCGCAGGTGTCACTAGCGCAGTGTCGGCCTTCCTCACAGACACAAGTGGTGTCTGTTTCTGCGGTGCCCTCCTTCTGGACCCAGAGCCCTAGATCTGAGCAGAGATGAGCAGAGAGGACAGGAGAACTTGTTGGGCCATGCTGGGCACCCCACTCCTCACACTGCCCGCTGTTTTTCTTAGACCCTCTTCCAATTAAGTATGCAATCAACTGATTTAACAAGCAGTACAACCCAAATCCCAGCCAATCAGGACAGACCCTGGCTACTAAAATTAAATTGGTAGCCCTGCTAAGTATATCAAACAACTCCCTTTCCCAGCAGCCCACCCACTGGGGTCGCAGTGTCTGTGGACATAACAGCGTCTCTCTCTGTTCCAGGTGTCTAGGAATTCGCCTTTTTGACAGCTACGACATTCCGTGTTCTTGAACTCTGTGCATTCATCCACCAGCTTCTTTCCTGGAAAACAGGAAATGAGGTAGCTCTGGCCAAACCAATGCGTCAGACCCTAATCACAACATGATCTGGCTGGGCTTTAAGGGGAGGGGGTGTTCAAAAATGAAAGTGTCAGACCCTTCAGAGTCAGGGAGGGGAGAAGGGAGAGATAAGAACCCCATCTAGAATAGACAGAGGTCTGCCTGGCAGAGAAGGAACACAGAACTTTCTGAAAACAAAGCAGAGAGCAATGGGCCATGTCAGACTTGACTTTACAGTTAATACATGGGGTCTGGGTCTTGCAGCAAACCAAGAGGCGTCCCTGACAGGGGTAGCATCTCACCTGGTGGGCACAAATCACAGCACACATCGTTTAGCAGGAACTGATTTTCTGTGCATGCAAAAGATGCTTCCGGGTGGACCTATAAACAGAATTGCATAACTGGAAGGGATCTTGAAGACTACTGTCGCCTCCTTGGCAAGAAGGTTGAAAGGCAGCCAGGACACAAGCTGCAACTGACGTGGAAGGCAGAAAAAATGAGGCCCGCAGAGTAATGGGTGTGTTTGTTTAAAAAACAAAAACAAAAAGAAATGTTGTCTGATCTGATTATAACAGCACCCAGAGAATCATCCTGATATTTCACAAAAGGACAGCACTGGAAACCCATAATATTCGCTGAACTGAACAAATCTGTTTGATTCCTGCATCTTCACTCTTGCCAGTGACCCATCAAGGCATGAGGATTCCAGGCTCCCTGGAGCCCAGAGGCTGAGGCTGGCTGGCTTTGGCTGGTGCAGGCCTGGGTAAGGCTGTAATGAGCACATGGCTGCTTCCTCCTATTCTTCTGTTCCTCTTCCGTCCCTGCTCCCAGCCCCATCATGGTTTCTCCCTTGAACTCTGCATTACCTGTTCACCAAAGCCCCTCCTCATAAAATGCTAGCACTGTAGAGCTGGAAGGATAAAATCCGACTGTTTCATCTTACAGAGATGGACACTGACCACCAAAGAGGCTGAGCCGCTGGCCCAAGACCCTGAGAAACTAAATGAGAACTCAGGTTTCAACACACCTCTCTCCACTGACATGTGTTTTCTCACTCCGTCTCTTTGATGTTCAGATACCACCCATGCTATTACTTGTTCTGTGCTACTTAAATAATTTTCTCTTAAATGTAAACCTTATATCATTGCCGTGAGAACAGAACTAGTATCACTTCTCATAAGTAAAAGGAAACCCTAAAAATAAATTCAACAGAAGCAAAACAATGCTATTAAACCTCAGCTAGTTCTTTGCTTGCTAAATAAAGGCCCTTCACCCCAGACCCACTCTTGATTTAGTTTAAAAGGAGGATTAGCAAGCCTGTGAGAGGAATTACCTATATTCCAGCTCCAGAGACTTTCTCGAAAACATGAGGACCGTAAAAAAGAACCAGAAAATGAGTCCATCTTTAATTTTATATCCATGTGCTCCCTAAAATTATCCCACATCTTGAGAACAGCCAGCAAACAAGGGCACAGGTTTGAGAATGAGATAGTGTTAGGATCTACACTTTGTAATATATACAAGTTAGTCTGCTTTTCGAGCCTTTGCTTCTCTGTCTTTAAAATAGGAGTACTAACACCTGCCCTGCAGGTTGGGTTGTGAGAAGAAACACATGTGTATAGCCTAGCGTAATATCCAGACCAGCGATAAACTCCCTTTAGAGCTTCCAATGATGCAAACAGCCTGCTGAGGTACACGTGCCATAGGTTCCCCACCACTAGGCTCTAGGCCATGGTGAGTACTCATTAAGTGGCAGCTTTAATTATCACACATAAATGAGTATCTGGTTAAATGCCCAGCACACTGGCTAACTGGCTGGCTGTCCAGGATCCAGCTAATTCTCAGTTTTCATTCAACCTGGTATCCAAGAAGACTACTTACAGAAATACATCTTACCCAGAATGGGGAAGGAAATAGAAAAGGCCACCCCCCACGGCATATTACGAGGAACCACCCTGTGAACCTCCACACTCCCAGAGCAATGTGACGACTCCCTCATGCCATCTGCACCAATATGGGAAAAGCAGCCCTTGGTCTGAAAAATGTCAGCCTCAGTCTCCAGTCCCCATAGCTCCTGCACTTCTGCCAAAAAGATTTCAGGACCAGGACTTGGAGACTCACTATGTGAACAGCTTAGAAATCAACAGGTGCAGGCTCACATCCAGGTTCTCCCATTAGCTGGTCATGAAACCCTGTGCTTGCTGTACAAGCATAGGGGAGACTGTATGAGGTGTTGGTAGTGTTTTCAGAGCTGGAGGGATGCACGGGAAGATCTCAGTAAATAGCCCAGCCTCTACCTGGAGCCCAAACTGGAGTAATGAGACCATAAGGGCTACTCTTAAGAGGCCCAGGTGACCTTCCCCATCTTCTCCAGCTCTTCCTCCACTCCCTGAACAAGTCCTTCCTCCTGCCTGCCTTCTCCCTAGTAGCCATTCCCTAGAGTGAAAATGAAAGTTTGGAACCAAAGCCGCTTCTCCACTCACTCTCTTCCCTTGTGATGGATGCCCTCTACACACACACACACACACACACACACACACACACACACACGCTCCCCATCAGTCATTCCTGTCCTGGGTTCCTGCCAGACTCCCCAGTCCCTGTCCCCCTGTCCGGAGGGGGAGGCCCAGGGGCTGGGATGAGACGGCCAGGTACTTGGGGAGTTCCCAGCCTCCAGAATGAGGAACTACAGAAAAAATTTAAACCAAAAGTGAGTCAAGTGTGGGCTTCTGAGAAACCCAGTGATATGCTTGGTTGGATTTCAGCCCTTCTGGTACCTGGAGAAACCCCTGCTGGGTTTCATGAACTGTTCATCGCCCATAGGGGTCCCCTATGTCATCTTCAAGAGAGGGAGACATAACCTTGGGACCTCCTGCTAAACTGGCTCCCCAGGATTGGACTGAGGGTGGGAGGTGTGAGGTGAATCTCACCTCCCCAGCAAAAAATACATGGGCCTCTGCCCCAATCCCTTGTTCTCACAAGATGCTCCGGAAGAAAGCAGCCCCAGCTGGCAAGGAGAGGCTAAGCATGGAGGCTGACCTCCTTCCACAAGGGAAAGGCACAGGAAAAACGCAAAAAACAGGCTAGACCTACCGTCCCGTGGCCCCTTGGCCCACCTCCTCCCCGCCCTCTGAAACCCCTTCCGGTCTCCGTGACCCGCCGCAATCAAACCCAGACGCCACCCTTCTGCTCGGGCAGAGGCGCACGTTCCGCACCTTCCAGGCACAGTGTGCGTTAGTGCCTCCCCTAAGGTTTCTGTGGACTGCCCGGGGCCCCAGCAGTCTGGCAGAACAGGCAGCCCACCTTACATTTAGCCAGGATCTGGGGTGCCTAGCCTCGCTTCCACACACTCTCCTGTCCCCCCAGAAACAGCTAGGAAAGTCTCTTTCGTAAGTCTTCCTTCTCCTGCATTCCCATTTCCTCAGTCTGGAATCCCAAACCCCGTCGAGTCGAGACAGAAACTACTCACGGCTGTCAGCAAGCAGCCCCAGAGGACGCACAGCAGAGCCAAGCGAACCATGGCCGGGTGAAACCCGAGTGGCCTGAGCAAGGGGCGCGCGGGCGGGGCCTCTAGTAACTCCTCTGACCCGCCCAGAAAAGGGGCGGAGTCTTTGGGGACCAATCGCATCGGCCTGTGAGTTGGGGGCGGCACCCGTAACTGGACACAGCCCAGGGATTTCCCCAGGACATTCCCAGAGTTCTGATCCTTACCCCTCCCCAGTTTAGGGACGCGCTGCGCTCCGCAGGGTTAGCCAGAAGCAGCTTGGTGCCAGAAAGGGCCCTAATGTCTCTAAGCCAACCTGCTTCCAAGGGGATGGAGGTAGGAGAGAAGGATCCCCAGGGGTGCTAGGGGTTCCACAGGGACCCACCCCACCTTAGGGCTCGCTCCCACCCCTTAGCTGCCTCTGGGAACTCCAGCAGAACCGAAAGCGTCTCCACTGGGAATAGAGACCTCCTGAGGAAGTCCCCCCAACCACTACCACCCGAGAAAACGGGAAGGCAGCAACTGGAGCGTGGGGAGGCATTTCAAGGAAACGAGCGTCCCAATTTAGTTTCACTCTCTTTCAAAGGAAATTCCCTCTTGTGAGTGCAGTTTCTCAGCCTCCCCATCCACGCATCCTTGAGTCCCCTTCGAGTTCTATTCCATCCCAGCTCCCATCCAGCTCTTGCAGACAGGCATTTATTGGGTGGGACAGTCTTTCCCTTTTTTATGGGATCACAGAACCCATAAAAATGTTAGCTTCGAGGTCCTTCTTTGAGCCTGCCTCTCCTGTATTCTTCCCCCTTCTCCCAGCCACTCCTGAAGCAACGTTAGCCATGTGCTCTGCAGCGTGGATCACCTAGATTCTGGTCCAGAGTCTGCCACTGGTGACACTGAGTTCCCTTGAACCTCCTTTTTCTTCCAGGAAAACTGAAGCCCTTGAACTAGACAGTGCTTGAGGTGATGACCCTCGAAGCTCTGAACTTGGAGGCCAGGCCATGACGCTAGGCTGTAAAGTTCAGGGACGATGACTAGGAGGAGCTCGCTAGCCGCATCTTTTTGCTGCAAAGGATGCATTTGCAGGTCTCACGGATTCTACCACTGACATCCATTCCTTGTCTTCTATCACCTCTGCTACTGTCCTGATTCAGACGCTCATCATTGGCTCTTGTCTGGACCATGCCAGTAGCTTCGCTCACTCACTAAGTACCTGTTGAGCACCTGTAGCATGCCGAGTCTCTCTCCCTCTGTCTCTATCTCTCTCTATGCGCGCGCGCGCGCGCACACACACACACACACACACACACACACACACGTGTGGTGATTCCTTTGGTAAGCTCCAAATCTGATCTGATGGAGCCGTTTCCCGTTTAAACACCTCTTTGGGCCTCCTATATCCTCAGGATGATCCAAACTCCTTATGCTGGGGAACAAGCTGTTTCCCACCCAGCCCTGACCTCCCCAGCCTGGTTCACTTCTTGCTATGCCCTCCCATGCATCCTGGCTCCAACTATGTTCACATTCTTTCCAGTTCTCAAGCCCATAATTGATTTTCCTTACTGGTTTTCTCATTCTGAGTTGCCATTTCCTTCCTTTCCTTGTGCTTCCTGAAGACAATTTAGGTTTTTCCTCCTCTTAAGCCTTTCCCCCATCTCCCCAAGACAAAGGCAGTGCTCCACCCTGCCTCTCCTCCCCGCCCATATTTCTGCAGCATTTAGCATAAGAGGTCATCACTTCTGTCTACCTTGTCCCATTTCACTGTGAGCTCCTTAAGGGCAGGGCTGGGTCTATCCCAGTCCTGGGTACATAAAAGGACACCAATACACCATTTTTCAAGGAATAAATATACGAGCAATTGGGTTCAGTAACTTGTGATCCCAAGCACCGCCTTGATCACAAAGGTGGGCACAAGCTGGCAGCCTCAACACAGACTTCAAGCTTCAATGCCCCTATGGATAAAAGGCATGGTGGTCAGATACAAATAGGCCAGAAACACTCAAATCAGGATCCAAGAGTCTTCATTAAAGCCACCCAATCGTACCCAGGATGAAAAGGAGATTAAAGCATCATTTTTCTTTTTAACCCTCTTTGAAAATACAAGCACAGTTTTAATTCCTTTGGGAGGGGGGCGTTACTATAATATTTCCAGCCATTACTTATTCCTTATTTGCTTGATTCCAAAATTGGGTCTTTCACAAAACTGCCTGGGGAAGCAAGTACACAGAATTAAAACATTAATTATATTATATAAAACATATCATAGCAGCAATTAAAGCAGCTTAAATTAATGTGTAAAAGAACAAATAGTAGCCTTCGGGTTGCCCCATGGGGTGCAGACCAGACAAGATAAAGGGAAGATCTTTCAGCGCATGCACACCCCAAAGAGACATGTGGCAAGGCCCAGAGAAAGCGGAGAGCCTTACTGGGCTGAGAAGAGCGTGCTGGAGGAAGCGGCCGAGGAGATGATTTAAGGGGAGGCAGCAATACTCAGAGTCCCATCAAAGAGGGAAATGAGAAAGAGTTTAACAACAGAAATAGGGAAATCTATTGGAATCTAAGGAAATGGCTTTGGAGAAGGGTCACAGGACCAGGTGAATGAATGAAGCATACTCGGCAATCGAGTCCTTAGAGCACTGCCAGAATCTGGTGACCACAGCGACCTAGCTAATATGTGAACCTGGTTATGTTCTCCCAGTTGTGAACTGATCCCCAAGAACCCTCATTTCTTAAGGTCACAGGGCTGCAAGTCCTTGGATCCGCTGGCCTGCATCTCTAACTAGCCTTCCAGCCTTCCACCTAATGCTCCTGCCCTGCTCCATTCCCAGATGCTCTGTGCTTTCACCTCTGCCTGAAAAACTATTCTCCCTCTCTCCCTTTGTCTCTTCCTTCAAAGCTAGACTTGGACCCCTCCCCAAGAAGTTCCCCCAACAGCCAACCCAAGACGCGTACATCTACCTCCTCAGCTCTCTGGGAACCTAACAACTGCCTACCTGAAGGAGACTACAGCCCAACTGTAAGGCTGCACTGTACTTCAGTTATTCTGTTTATTTGTGGAACCAGTGTACAATGGTGAGTCGACTCTGTGGGACATAATAATAAAGTTTTTCCCCCTAATCTCTGCCTTCAGCCATGCTGTGTTAAATTTCCCTTTTCAATCCCTAATGACACCATGGGCAGACTGCATTACTTTCTGATCACATTCTGTTGTTAAGTGTCCAGCCATCAAAGCTTTGTTCTCGCCCAAGGGTTGACTTGAATCAGGACCCTGTCACTAAAGGTAAAAATCAGAGGAAAGGAGATGGCCTGGTTGAGAGATGTAGTCTAGCACCCTCCTTTTTGCTGAAATGGAGAGGAAGTAGTAGAAAGAGCAAATATCCCTTCAAATATGTTTGTCCCTGCAAAAGCCCCGTCTCTGTTGGTCAATTCTTGCCTGGAGTGGCAAGCGTCCATTTATGGTTTCTCATGGAGCACGTGGGTAAATTTCACGGGAACTACCCCACTGCACTGTTCCCTGCCAGCAGACATCCAGCTCAGGCATTGGCTCTCCTACCTTGCTGCCTTTTGCCAGGGTCCTGCCCAGCAATCAGCCTGCTTGTGTGGGACATCAGCAAGGTGCTCCAGTCTGGCTGATCACTGCAGTGTGCACCTGACCCACAGGAATGCATGCATCCTTGGCCAGCTACTCTACAGTGCCCTCTCTTTCCATCCCTATTCGTCCCTGCTCAGATAAGCACAGCCCACTGCCAAGTAGACCCCCATCTGGGAACACCATCCCTGTCTTCTAGTGACTCTCAAATTCCCTGAAGATTCCCAAACACACAATTGCCTCCCACTGCATGCACTGTCCTCAATAAAACCAAAGACCTCCCCAGGATTGTTATATGGGCAAGGAAGAGGAAATTGGGATTTTGGTTAGTAGATAAAAGAGAAGTTCTGATTCCTTTAATAAGTCTTGGAGGGAAACTATCTGTCTTCCTTGAATACAGGGTGCCTAGGGCTTTTTGCAATTGGCCGTGGACCACATTGCCAATTTTTAAGTAACAGAGATCAACAACCTTTGGACTGGGCCTTGCATCTAATTTGATTCCTAGAGGGGAGGGCAGTGTCACAGACACGTTTATAAACTGATGCCTAACAGATACTGATCAGGAGTTTGCTAAATGAATTCAGGGATGTAAAGTACTAAAAACTGAAAGGATCCATCAGGATTCACCCACCCCTTCCCCTATTGTCCTGAGCAGCTGCCCATCTCCACCAGATGACCACACTCTCTAGCTGGGATTCCTGGGTTTAAAGGTAAAAAAAAAAAAAAATCTTTCTCTTTAGCTCAGCAGATTTCGGTTGGAATTTATCATAAGGAACTAAGAAACTTAGAAAAGAATCCCAGCCAAAGCTTCAAAAAACCCAAGTGCTAACAAAACCTATAGTGGGGGGGGGGGGCTGGCAGGAGAGAGATCAGACTGTATTCAAAGTATAGAATTTCTTTTATGATCTGGTTATAGCTACTTGACTTGGCTAATTCTGATTCTCAGATAAAGAGGCCTTGGGTCTGGTCTTCAGCCTTCTTTTGTGCTAGCCAGCCTCCAAGACAGCCCCTGATGAGCACAGACTGCTGCTGTTCACATATCTGTGCCTTGTCCTCCCTCATCGTATCTGGATCAATCTGTGTGGCCAACAAAAACCAGGAAGAGTGACAGTAGGTTACGTCTGAGTTCAGGTTATAGAAGCCCTGAGGCTTCCACATCTTTCTCTGGCCTGTTAGGCCTTCTGGAGCAGTCAGCTTCTTGCCATGTTTTGGGGACACTTAGGTAGCTTATGCAGAATCCTGTGTGCAAAGAACCAAAGAGTCCAGCCATGGGCCACACAGGAGACCTTAGAAATGGATCCTTCAGCCCAAGGCAAGCTTCATTTCCCATCACCCCAACTGGCACTTGGATTATAAATGCTTTGGGGTTTTCAAAATACTTCCACAAAAACTTGGGAAACTCATACTAAATATTATTCTTCATTTTAATATTTGACAATTTGACAAGTAAATGATATCTTTTTGTTGCTTTAATTTACATGTCTTCATTTATTAGAGAAGTTGAACA